AATTGCTACATAAATAACTTGAGTCAGACAAAAGTATTACTAAATAAAATACAGTATATAAGAAAATTAACAAATTAAACTCAGCCATTGCTTTTCAACCATGCTTCAACAGAATGATTAAAAAAAACTCATGGAACAGGCCTGCACAAAAATGATAGTACCCTTAACTTAATATTTTGTTGTGCAACCTTTTGAGGCAATCATTACCATCAAATAATTCCTGTAATTCTCAGTTAGACTTGAGCTCCTCTCAGCAGGTACTTTCACTGTTCATGAGTAAACTGCTCTACTTGTGTCAGGTTTGAAAGGTTTCTTTTTCCAGACATCATTGTTTCAGCTTCTTCCTAAGATGCTCTAAAGGATTTACCTCATGGCTCAAAGAAGACCATTTCAGATAGTTCAATGAGTTTTTTAGCTGTGTGTTTTGGGTCATTATCATGTTGAAGACTCATGACCTACTACTGAGACCAAGCTTTCTGACACCAAGCAGCACATTTCTCTCTAGAATCCTTGATAGTCTTTAGATTTAATTGAACCCTACAGAGGTTCAGACACCATGTGCCAGATGAAGCAATGCAGCCCCAGAGCGTTACAGAGCCTCTTCCATGTTTCGGCACAGACAGTCTTCTTTTCTTTATACACCTAATTTTTACATTTGTTAACATAGAGCTGATATGGCAGACACTTCCATTTTTGTCTCATCAGTCTTTAGGGCATTCTGCCAGAAGCTTTGTGGCTTGTCAACAAGTTCATCAAATTTCAATCTGGCTTTTTTATGATTTACTTTCAGAAGTGGTGTTCTCCTTGGTCATTTCCCATTAAGTCCACTTTGGCTTAAAAAACAAATTATTGGTGCAATCTGACAATGATGTTCCTTGAGCCTATAATGGACCTTTAATGTCTTTAGTTTTTATGGACTAATTTGTCACCATTCATACAATCCATTTTTCTTTTAACTTATCATAAATTTTTCTACTGCTACCACATCCAGGGAGGTTACCTACAGTCCCATGGATCTTAAACGTCTGAATAACGTGTGCAACTGTAGTCAGTGATACATTAAGCTGCTTAGAGTCTATATTTTCTTCCTAATCTCCTGAAACAACTCTTTTCATGGCTTCCTTTAGTCCTTGTTGAGTGTGATACACACCATGTCACCAAATAGCACAGTTACTATATACCTATATACACTAGTAGCCATTCAAGATTTCCCCACTTTCCTTGATGGGCCCTTTGCTGGTCACCTACTTCCTTTTTAAACATCAATCTTTGTACTAAAATATTCTGTCATGATTTGTGGACATTAAAGCTACAGTGTGTAATAATTACAGGGATATACAGTCAGAAATGTAATATATTATACATAACTATGTTATTTATCATCATCTACGAGCTCAGCCTCTTAACCTTAATATTTGCGTTGCCTTAGAATTCGTAATTTATAATTACATAGGAGCGGGTCTCGCAGCCATGGAGGCAGACATCTTTGCGCTACGGCAGCGCAGAGCCAACAAACTAGCGATTGCAAAGCAAAGCAGCTCACCAAAACGTCACAACGATGTAGAAAAAATAACGGGTATATTTATTATCTTAAGTCTACATGAAATCTATACCCTACACAGACTAATGAAATACTATCTGTAAAATTATCTATGTAAACAAACCTCATCACTTGAGAAGGTAGGTGATGCGGACGTCGTGGAAGACATTTTGTCCCGTAACGCTCGCCGTACTGTTGGAGGTTAGAAGCGGTGGGGGGGGGAGATGTTCATGTTGCTGCGGTCTGCAGTCTGGACGTTAGATGTCGCTGATATTACACACTGTAGCTTTAAGATCTAAAGAGAAGCGTCATCTTTTTTGCTGGGAGTTGCAGGGAAGTGGGCTGCTTTGGCTGGCTTTTGAATGGGAAGGGCCATTTTGCATGGCTGCTAGTGTATAGGCCCACAAGCTGATAACAAGATTGTAGACCTGTGATGATAATCAATGGACACACTTAAATTTAACACGCCCCTTAGGTTACATTATTTTCAGTCTTTTCTTGGTGGTACCATCAATTTTATCCAGGCCTGTTCCATTAGATTTTTTTTAAATATATATTCCATTGAAAAGATTTACATTGAAAATTTTGATATGACTTTTTATTTTGCTTTTGATAACTTGATGAGACAGTTTGGCTTCCAAATATTATGCTGATGTATTTCCTGACTTATTATAATAATTGAAACACATTGCTTGTGTTTAATGATCTCTGAAGGAACCAAGAGCAGAAGCAGGCTGTGAAAATGGAAAACTTTAACAAATATAAAAAGAGTCTGCAGGCTAACCACAGGAAGAATAGGTTAAGGGACAAATACAGCCACACTGTTACCAGGCAGTTTAATGGAGCAGTGGAGGAATCCAGCAATGAATGTCTTTAAATACAGGGCATTTTATGGAGCAGCTGAGGTAAATGGAAAGCAGGTAGTCTGAGAGAAGAACAAGGACTAAATATCATGGAAGAGGATCTAAACCATACAGACACACACACAAAAAAACTATCAAGCCAAAGTGTAAAACAGAACCTACAGAAATTATTTTAAATGCACAAAGAACAGAACACAAGAATAAGCATGTAATACTAAATTAAAAATAGTCAAACTAATAAGGGAACACGTAAGAGAACATAAGGACAGAGAAATAATTACAACAGAGACTCAGAAAACCCAAAAGCTTAAGGATCATAACAACTCCCCAGTTAAATAGCCTGGGTTTTGTTTTCTAAAATAATGTTTAATGTATTCTGAGGAAAATCAGCTGAAAAAACCCCAACTAATATAATGGAGGGAAATGTTAAACTCGAAAAAGCAGGAATATCTTTTTTCCATAAGTACTCATTTGCTTGAAGTAATTCTATTTAAGCAACTTTTGATGCAGCTCCAACATTAAGCCTTTTAAGTTATTTAGGACTAATACTTGACGACTGGAGTCATTTAGTAAACACATAATTAGCACAAAATGTTACAATAGATCAGTATTATCACTTTGTATTAAGTCAGAAGCATAAAAGCATAAACATTTCCAGTATTACCTATTTATGCCATGCCACATTAAAAGCAGTAATATATAGCAGGAGAACATATGGAACCTTGATGTCATGAAAAAAAACTTTTTTGTAGGTTGTTGAGAGTCTGACAGTAACAATAGTGGACCTGCAGGAACTTGTGAATAAAACTGGTTTTCTCACATGAAACAGCAATATAATATAATAAATGAACTTTATTGATCTTACACTGGAGAAATTTACCTCTGCATTTAACCCATCCCCTTTGGGAGCAGTGGGCTTGCATTGTGGGGTGCCCAGCGAGTAGTATGGGGTTAAGGGTTTGCTCAGACCCAATATCCAGTAATCTTCATTTTTTTCTCCATAATGTACCGCTGCACTATAAGATGTTTTTTCTCTAATGAAGCCAAACTCAAAACACCAGATTTAAAATGGAATATTGTGGTTGCAGTAATGTGATCTGGGAATACATATTTTCATCATTAACAAGACCCTTTTGTCAAAAGTGATTGCAATCATGTTGTTTCAAAGTAAAGTTTAGCTGGAAAGCTAAAGATGAAGAGAGTGATCTTATCTCTCAGCAGTGCGGTGCAGCCACAAATGGATAAAAATAAGCAAAGAAATTACTTTTGTTTTAGAAACATGATATTGTGATCTGTTGAATTGTAGTTACCACTCTTTTAAAAATAGAAAAACACACACAAAAAAGCATGTGGACTGGATTGTGTTTTTGGACCTACCTTCCACCACTGGTCAGGCCCTCTTAGTGGAAATGTGACAGACCTGTTATAAATGTATGTAGTATTATATCGTATTATTCGTATCCCAAAATCCCGTAAACCAACAGATCTGAAGGATCTCCTTATGATGAAGTCCCTTTAAAAACAGCTAAATTATATATTTGTCTCCTGTATGGCTGATAAAATGGATTTACTACAAATTAACTATCAGCCTGGTAAAGGGATTGAGTACACAAAACTTTTTATCCATGACAACATTTTAAGCACCTCGAGAGCTCCTAGTTGCTGATTTTCATATTTGGTTTTAAAGTGTAAGTACGTTATAATTCAGAAACTGGCCACAAATTTAAATCTCCCGAACAAGCTGTTAATGCTGCTCTTATGTTTTTTAAGGAATAGAGTTCAGGCTGTCCTGGTAAGCAAGAAAATGTCAGATCCCCTAATATTCAATGTCCGATCCCCTCAATGCTGTCAGCTTATCTTTGTAGACTTCCAGCAAAGCAGACATTAGCATAAATCCAGTGTCATACATGGTAAAGAAGTGCAAATTGTTGATAATTACAAGTGACGGCAAGCTTGAAATATGATGTGAACACTAATATCTTTACTGAAAAGGGGCTGCAGATAATTTTTCAAACTCTTCTCATTGATTCTGAAAAAGTAAAAAAAAAAAATCCACTGCACTTGGTTTCCAAGATTTGAAGACATTTCGCCACCTCTCCAGGAAGCTTTCTCAATTCAAATGAGACTGAAATTCAAACTTCTCATTGAGTTTCAGTGGGATTCTTCTCTTTTAACTGCAGGTTTGATTGCATGTTTTTGAGAAACGCAAATAATTTGAATATTTTTTATGTATGTTAAACAATCCTTGTTGTTGACCAGAGAGACCTGGCTGATCAAGCAGACCATAGACTTCAATCAGATGCCTTCCCGTCTGCGTTATAATTGGCCAGTGATCAGAACTAATCCCTAATCGAAGTCTTTTATCCCCTTCCACACCATAAAAGCCATTTTTATATAGATATTCACATTTTAGATTCTCTATATTTTGTAGGATTTGTTTGTGGTGCCAATAATGATGACAACCTACATTAATAATTTGTTGTATTTACACCAAATGCTGTAGATTTATATTGATAAAAAACTATAGGTTTGGATACAGAGATTTTTCTCTTTTTTTTTGTTTGTTTTAAACATCTATACCTTCTTTCTCTTTTCAGATGCAGAAGTCTGCCACAATGATGAAAGTCAGTGGGATTCTGCTCAGTTTTTTAATCTCTGCAGGTAGTACAGATTATTCCGTTAAATGTCTTTTCAACATTGAAAAGCATTTTTAATGACTTTGGTTTAAAATTTTTAAATCTTTAATGTGTCTGAAACACTTAATTTAAAAAAAAGTTATATTTACTATTAGTTTATGACCCAAAGTTTTACTGAACAAGAACATGACTGATGAGAATGAGTTAAAATATCCTGATAGCTATTTTCTAATTCTGTTTTATTTGGTATTGCAGCTATTCCATTCCCTCTACAAGGTAAAACTGTTTCTTATTACTATATCACTGATTCTCACCCATGGCGTTTGAGTTATGAGCTGTCCTCTCCCTCTACTTGCAAATGTTTGTTTCCTTTCTCCCTTTCAATCCAGGAGAAGAATCAATAACCCTTTTCCATGGAGAGGATTTCCAAATCGTGCTCCCACCATACGAGGTGGAGCTCACATTCAGGAACTATTCAGACCCTCGGAACCCCTCAGACTCAGTTCTGATGAGGGGGGGGGAAGTGATTAGCAGTAGAGCCAAACACAGCCTGCAACTCAGCCACCTCATCATAGAGGCTGTGGGAGAGGGTGACGAGGGGCTATACATCCTGAAGAATTCAAAGAATCCCAATGACAAAAAGGAAATAAAACTCATAGTCCGAGGTACGGAGCAACTCCACACACTGGGAAATTTAAGGATGACATTAACAGCCTGCGGACATAGTTAAAGTGCAGATCTTGTTTTGCTGAAAATGATAAATATGAAAAAATTAAAGGTTTAACAAAACAAAGATTAGATCGTTTTCATAAACAGCAAATACAGTTTTCTCAATCCTTATCTCAGTCGCTTGCTGTAGGTGTTACCCCACCTCGAAGCAACACCTTAAAGGGATCCACGACTAGTTAAACATGTTGGCCTAAATGTGTTTTGTATTTATAATTAATTAAAATCATACATCCTTTGTTATATTTTTCACCTACCAGTATTTTTAATCTGCTCAATGCATTTAGGGTTGCCATCTCTCTCTTAAAACAAGAACTGTCACATATATAGAAACAAAATTAACTGTTTCATTTAATCCAGGTTTGATTTATGTTTACATAATGAATTCACACACAAGAAAAGGTGAAAATTAATCCATAATGGTAAAGTGGAATACAAATGAAATAGTTCGGACTTACTGAAATGGAACCAACAGTGTAAACAGGAAGGCTAACATCACCCAAGTTGTTTTCTTTTCTTTCTTTTTTTTATCATGAGGTGTTATACATACAGCTGATAGAACTAGACTATACTATCTAGAGCTAACACTATTTGCAGGACCTAATGTGGGTGACAGTAATGCATCTTTCTGTCGTTGCCACACATCATTCTAATATATCTGACTTGTTTTTTTTATGCCAATGATTACTGTGAATATCTTCAGTTAGAGCCACGCTTCCACACAAACAACAGCTTCTTTGTTTGACTTTCCCCCTTCCTACGTTTGGTTCCCCTTATCTTCATTACCCCTTGTGATTTCTACATTATTGTCTGTTTCCTTGCACTCCAGTTAAAACGGAAAAGGTCTAAAATTACTCATTGGTGTTTTGGCTACATGGACCTAGTGCTAGGATAGAATACAATATTGTCAACTTTATTACACTGTCAGAAGAACGAAGCAATGAAATGAACTCTCTGCATTTAACCCATCCCCTCGGGGAGCAGTGGGCTGCCATTGTGCAGCGCCAACACTCCCCACACAATATCTCCTTTGCTACAGGATGCAGCATATATTTCTACCCAGAATATGTAGCGTAAACAACAATGCAACATCCTTTTGACTATATTTATTCATATTTACTAAAACTAAACAGCTTACAGTATTTTTTTATTGTATTGTGTGTACATAGAAAATATTTATCATATAAAGTCTATTGTTAGAACTAATCGTGGATCCCCTTAACGAGGGTTTTTAATCGTTGGATGATCCCAGAGGCTACTTTGCTCGGGAGATTAAATTTCCCTTGTAGGGTCTCCCTTGCTTGCCTTTGGATTACCTTAAATAATAAAAGAAGATAATACAACTTTTAGTTTACAAACCAAAAAGAAAAAAACGAGTAGCTATTTTGCTGTCAATACTCACTGGCTAATAAAACATATGCAACAATGCCTCACTAAAAAAGAATAGAATACTATACAATAGAAAATTCCTTTATTGTCCCACAATGGGGAAATTGTGGTTTTTACAGCAGCAAAAAATTATAGGAAAAAAAAAGAAGCTGCTGAAACAGACTGCCTGCTCCTCGCTGGTGCCCTCACACTATGAGAAAAGGATCTTCTTTTAGATTGTCCATTTTGATGGCTGACAAAGAGAATGAGCCTCTGTGTCACTCTATTAATACCTAAGGGAAACAAGATGACATCAATTAGTCAAATATTCTCAGAGGCTGTGATGAAAGTACAATTTACCAAATAGTTCTATTACATGTACTCTTCAGGACTTGTTGTGTGTATATATGGCAACAGGGATTGTTCAGATAAATTAATCAACTACATTTGTGTTTTTCCTCCTATAATGTACATAAATTAAAGGCTTTCTCCTTTTTTTTTTAGCCTGATATTTTTCTGCAATGAAAGACGAAAGTACTATTATTACTAGTGGTTAACACTAAAGTGGAGGGTGCTGCATTCTTTTCTACTTTAGGGTCAGAATTAATTAAGGACCCAAGGCAAGTGTCAGAATCACTGTGTTGTCATGCCAATCAGTACCCCCCCACACACACACACAAACACTGGATCAATCTTAAACTACTATTGGGAGACTTGTGTTGCTTTAAACTCAGAGAGGAAGAAGTGTGCATGGAATAAAGCAAGTGTAGTAAAATAATATGTGGGTACAGTGCCACATGGAAGAAGTAATGATAGTTAATAGAGAGGTGTGTTTGTTTTTGGACTGTGAGAGCAAAGCTGGAGATGTCAGGCAACAATTATCGACCTTGTTAACCACCATCTCAGCCCTACTTCCGTCCATCCTCTCTGTCTTTCCCTTTTCTTGGTTTGTGTCCGTACCCTATCATTCCCATTACCCTGATATTTCCGGATCAGTGCTCCTTTCTTTTTCTGCATTTGGTTTCTTTTTTTTCCCACATCTGCCAAGCTCCTTTTCCTTTCTCTTCCCTCACCAATTTTGCTGTCATTTCTTATTTGGCCTTTGTTAAATCGTCAGGCATTTTCCTGTCAACTCTCATCAAGTTTGCTGTTCTGTTTATTTGTGATTAAAAGGTTCCTCCCCCTCTTTTACCCTTCAGACTGCACCATCGAACAGATCGTCAAATATGGTGATAACTTTAAAATTCCTATTGCGGGGGTGAACACTCCAATCAGTCTGGAGTACAGGCCCAGTGCAGTGGAGGCCAACCAGACATCGAGGTAGAGTCAGCACAATCACACTTCTTTTCTGAACTAATGTTAGCAATGCTTTTTATTCAGCATTGACACACATGCAGTGAGACAGGCCTGAGACACAAGGTTGAGAAAAGTTCACCTCATTCAACTTTTGTCCGTGCAGACCAGCAGTTGTGGTGTTGACTGCCGCGGGGACCTCCATAGACCCCTATCGAGGTCGCATCAGCGTCAGTGAGCGATACATCACCATCAGTGCTGCTACAGTTAACGACGAAGGAAGCTTCACCGTCAGGGACAGCAAAGGTTTTATCCAAAAGAAAGTGTGCCTGAACGTCAAAGGTGAGAACAGCAGATAAAGGCAAAATAGTTATCTCCACCTGTGCATGACTTGCTTTAATGTCTTCATTCAGGATGTTGTTGTTGCTCTAGTTTTATGCCCCCACAGCATGCTTTAATGGCTTCTTAATGGTAGGCTAATGCACTTACAGTCTGTTAACAGAGCCTATGTGAAGTTATCAAATTTCCTTCCTCCTCTGTTGTCTGTTGCAGAACACAATAAGTTTGAGACCCATTCAACTGGTGAGAGACTGAAGATCAACCTTATTCTGAACAGCTCTTTGGTTCAGCTCTACTACAGCCAAGACCCAAAAGTTCCCGAAAACATTCTGCTGATGGATAAGGGAGAATTCATAATTGTAACTATGAACAAACTCTTAACTTCTTTAAAGATATGACAAATTAAAAACTGCTGGGTTAAAGAACATTATTTAGGCTATTTTGTAAAACAATCCTGAGTTGATGAACCAAGGCTGAGTAAATAATTCCTTGAACCCAAACACCAGATTACCCAACAGTTTTGTGGGATTACAGGTCTCTTTTCCCAACAGTCATTAGCTTAAAAGACTGGGAGCACCCTGGAAAGCAACAAGCCCATCATATACAGAACACTCAGTTACATATTAAAGGGACTTATTTACCTAATATGAGTGTATTTTGCTTGAGGCATTTAGAAAACCCATGTATGCATAGGGATAGTGTTTAAAATCCTCTGTGAAACCATTGCAAGACTCTGAACCCAGTGTCGTCTGAATGTGAGGCTAAAATAATAATAACTGGGCTACCATTCATTCCCAGATGAATAACAAGGCTATATAGAAGGGCCAAAGTTTGAAAAACGATAATGCCTTATAAAGATTTGAATCAAATAGAAGTGGAATTTGGATAAGAAGTTTAGTAGTTAATATGTGGAACGTACCTACACTGACTGTACAAACTACTTCTATCATCAAATTGCAAATGTTGAGGCTAGTAGCCTGAGCTTGATTTAGCACTTGCTTAATAAGCTATTTAGAAAAAAAACAACATATATAGGGCTGTGTTTTTTTTTTTAATGGATTTGGATTTATAATAATTTTCATTCAACCAAGAGGTATTTTCTGATAGAAAATTTGTTAGGCATCTATCAAAAGATGGTAAAACAAAAAAATATGCATATTCCCTTCTTTATATATGAATATATATGATTAGTTCATATATCCATTCATTTTCGGACACACTTAATCCCAAGTGGGGTCGTGAGGGTTGCTTGTGATTTTTCAGAGAAGCCAATTAATCTAACAGTTATGCTTTTGGACTGTGGGAGGAAGCCGGAGTACCTGGAGGGAACCCACACATGCTCAGGGAGAACCTCCACACTCCATGCAGAAAGACCCAGGGCAGGGATTTAAACCCGCATCCTTCTTGATGCAAGGCAGCAGTGCTATCCAAAGCGCCACTGAGCATTATAGCTTAGCTTATATGATAAAAGAACAAACACAAATTTATTAACTGTTTTCTTCATATTTTTTTATAGCTGTTAGTCATATTCATTAATATATTAGCACATTCGTGTTGATCTTTAAATGCGGCTTAACTATTTCTTGAGCCCCTTTTTAGCGAAATACAAGTTTTCATGTCAAATTCCCTTCCTTACCCTAGGGTTCCGGTTTTGAGGACCGTCTCTCCTTGGAAGGTTCTGTGGTCTTTTTGGATCAGATCAAGGCCTCTGATGCCGGGCTGTTTAGAGTCACAGACTTACAAGGATTCAACATCTCTACTGTCCAACTGGGATTAAAACGTAAGCAAAAAATGCAGCTAAACTGAAAGGTTTATGGTTATGGCTTTTAAGGTTATGACTGTTGTTTGTAAACATGCAAAGTTTTGTATTTGCATTTGTGTAGACAATGATTTCAAGTTAGTATTTTCTACACAAAAACACAGGTAAAAAAACACAATATTAAAGAGAAATACATTAAACCAGTCATGAGAAAAATAAGTATGACAGAAAGAAAGAGATATTAAGATGCGTTTTAAGGAAATAAATAACTGAAACACACAAAAACCAATACAAAATAACTGTTAAAATGCTCTTGACCTTTACAGAAAAGATTTTTAAACAATGAACCTCTAAGTTTTTATAAGGAGTTGCTTTCAAAGCTGAGCAGAATGGATATTTCATGATGGATTCGCTAATAAATCATTTCCGATAAGCAATTCTGAAAATTATGAGATCCAAAACAATACATTTCTATTAAGACCAATAAAAGCTGAATAAATTACTTAAGGACTGTTTTAATATCATCCAACTTCCTGGTTTTGGTTGCAAACCCTGACAGCAGCATTGCAGATGAACTGAAGCGGTCTGCTACTTTGGCTAAGTTATTACAGAGACATAAAGCTATTTATCATCATCATACACTGCATGAGGCAACAGATGTTGTAAAACTCCATATTTCAAGCCAATGGAAATATCTACATATTTTTTTTGAATATGGGCTAAAGATATAGCCCTGAGGAACACCTCAAATGATTATTTCTTCAGTTTTCCTTTATATTGTCCCTCCCAAAAAAACGTAGTGCTAATTTGTCAAATAAAATGGAAGCTGCAATACCATTTAGTTACAGTTAATTTTCCATGTCATCCCATATGGATGTGAATATGAGCTGTGCCAAATGTAGAACTGAGATCCAGTAAAACCAAGACAGAAAATAGTTTTTTCTTATGTATATTGATTAGAACCTTTTAAAATTACAGTCACCCAACAGTGAAGATTTAAACGATTAATTTTTATTTTTTTCAACATAAAATAAATGATTTGTTTAACTGCCATTTTAATTTAATACACTTTTGAAAATAGGCTTGACTGCTAAAGAGGGCAAAGAATGGGGTTGTGTTTTTTTTTTTTTAAACAATGTTGTCGTTCTCTGTGTTGCCCTCACAGCCTACACACTGGACTCCCTTTATGTTGCCATCATTGCCCTGCTGGGCCTGTTGGCTTTCCTTCTACTGGTTTGCCTTCTGTCCTGTCTAATCAAAATTAAGAAAAGGGCCAAGAGAGCCGCTGCGCTGGAGAAACTTGCTCAGAACGCTGGCAAAGAAGATGAGGGCGAGGCCTTTAGACAGGTCTGAGAAATTATCATGTTTGACAATGAAGATTACCCCTGTACAGTTATTACATTTTATGTGTCTGTGTTGAATCTTTTTAGGTGGTCAAGAACATCACTAAACTCAGTGAGGAGTCCAAACATTCCCAAGCAGACAACACAGAGAAATCTCAAAGCACTGAGGTGGACATCAAGGTAAAAAGAAATGACACAGCCCTTCAAGCTAAGATGGAGAAATGTTAATCATGACTGAAAACCTTTATGCTGTTCTCTACATTTAGACAGTTGCAGCTTATTCAGAACGCTGCTGCTAGAGTTCCGACTAAGATCAAGAAAATGGATCACTTCAGTCCAGGTCTCTTTGCAGTGGCTTCCTGTGCAACAAAGAATAAAAGCAATGAACGTTTTAGGGCTGAAAGATATCTTTGATCTGTTAAAATGTTTTATGAACCATTCTGACTTCTCAGGTCCTCTTGGAGTTTTCTTACTTTCCCAAAGAAAAAAAAGTGAACATGCAGATTTTCTGCCTTGCAGCAAACTCCCAGAAAACCTGAGGCCTGCCCTAACCTTCAGTTCTCCTAAGTTAAGGCTGAAAGTATTTCTGTTTGCCACTGCCTTTTATTGAGTTGTATATATTTCTACCTTGATCCAAAGCCTGCAGCCAGCCCATGCTCGGTGCACTGTAGCAGAACTTCCCGTATCCTGGTTTATGCAATTTTATCTTTTTTCTTCCTCCATTTTTTTCATATACCTGCACTGTCTGCAAGAGATGGACTCAACTCTAGTTTCTATTGGTCATGGATATTATCTCAATTTAAGGCTTTTAAAAATGTATTTCAAGTTTTTTTTTTCTCACAGGGTGAAGCAATGGTCAATCAATTTCTAATAAAAAGGGGGTACCTATTAAAATGTATTGTGCATTTTTTCTAATAAACATTGTAACAGCCAAAATTATACATACAGGATTAAAAATATTTATAGACCCTCACTGAAATTTGAATAAAGTTGCAGAAAAAGCCACATACATAACCCTGAAACAAGCCTCTGTTATAATTCTGAATATAAGTGAGACTGGTTTTCTAATGGAAATGGTATATTTTGTGTAAATGTTTAATTTCCCACCACTAATCCAGCTTTAAAACGGAAGTGCAGAAATGGCTTCAGTGGGTTTAGGTCTAATATAATCTATATAAGCTTTGATGTGCGTTTACGTTATTGTCCTGTTGTAAAACCATAATGATTCTATTCTATTCACCATCAGCAAAAAACATGCCCCCCCTCCCAAGAAGAAAGAACAGTCTTGGAATAATGCACATAAGAGAAAATTACAAAATAAACACATTCAAACTGTTTGTGGCCTCTGACATTGACAAAACAAATGCATTCTGGAGAATTTTAAGCTCAAACAACACAATGATTGAGGTGTTTGGAAAAAAAACTGCAAGAAGATCATTTGGTCGGGACAAAGTGAGGATTTTGAACATGGAAACACTGTAACAACTGTGAAGCATGGTGGTGGGAGCATCATGCTGTACATGTAGGGCTGTTTAGCTTCCATGAGTACTGGTACAAATAGTTTGAAATATCAAAGATGGCCAAAATTAGTTTATATAATCTTAAATCAACAGTTACCTGGATGATACTGGCACACAATTAGGTATATATATTATGTCAGTTTAATATTCACCTTGTGTGGAACGGAGAAATTCAAATGTATGCAACTCAATCTAGTTTTAAAACAAATGCTGTTGTGTCTTTGGAAGCCTTAAAATTAGTATAATACCCATGCCTTTAATCAGTATATGTAAAGACCTCACAGATGTCCAGCTAACAACCTTCACTCATTGTCTCTTTAAATGCAGGGTCTGGAGGTTTCTTCTAAAGAGGTTGGCGTCGGTAATCTAGAGACCAGTGATTCTGGCGTTGGCTTCAACACTGCGCTGCCGCTGGATACTGACACTGATGTCCCCGATCAAATCCCTGATTCTGAGGCTGTAAGCATTTCTGCTGCTCCTGAAATCAAACCGAGCCCTCCCTCTGCTGCTGAAACCAAGCCAGCTGCTCCACCAGTACCTGAAACTAAAGCAAGCCCTGTCCCCGAGCCCAAAACAGCCCCAACTCAGCCTGTAGAGGGAAAGCTGGACGCACCCAAACCACTGGATACTAAGCTTAGCCCAACCCCGAGTCCTGAGCCTGGTTTAAGTCCAGCTGACAAAATACCTGCACCCAGTCCAAGTCCAGAACCCAAGACTGGTCTGAGTCCAGCTGATCCAAAACCTGCACCTAGTCCAAGTCTGGAACCCAAGACTGGTCTGAGTCCATCTGATCCAAAACCTGCTCCTAGTCGAAGTCCAGAACCCAAGACTGGTCTGAAATCAGCTGATCTAAAGCCTGCTCTTAGTCCAAGTCCAGAACCCAAGACTGGTCTGAGTCCAGCTGATCCCAAACCTGCTCCTAGTCCAAGCCCAGAACTTAAGACTGGTCTGAGTCCAGCTGATACAAAACCTGCTCCTAGTCCAAGCCCAGAACCCAAGACTGGTCTGAGTCCAGCTGACCCTAAGCCTTCATCCAGTCCAAGTCCAGAGCCGAAGACTGCTGCTCCCATCACCACATCTCCAACACCTGAAGTTAAGAGTGCATCTGCTAGTCCAGAGCCCCCAAAACCAACCCCAGCAGAACCTATAACCAATGGTACGCCTGGACCAGATTCCAAGGCAAGTCCAGATCATGCAGATATCATCAAAGACCCGACTCCGAAAGAGGTTTCCACTAAAACCCTTGAAGTGGAGATGAAGTCCAGCAGTGTTGAACCAGAGGCCAGCAAAGATGGCACCGCACATTCGACTACAACCTGAGGATCACAGCTGCGAAAACACAAGGAACCCCCACAGATCCCTCTCTACCACCACTGCAGACAATCAAACACCACTACCAAAATGGTGAGGGAAAAACCTCAGCAAGCTGGGGAGATGATGAGGAAACAAAACCCCACAGTGAAGATAATGCTTCATTTGTCTATATCCTTTCAGACTTTCTAACTAAGACACAGTTTAAATAAAAAACATGGCTTTTAATCTTTAAGCATTTTAGTTTTTCAGCCTCATTGTCAATTAATTTTACTGGAAAAACTGCCAAACTGCAAATTAAATCATTTGCAGAGTTTACAGCTAATATATTAAAGTCACATTAGGTGTTTTATACAGTACATATTTTAAAAAAAATGGTTTACGGCATTTCATCATTGCAGTATAGCACAGTTTCTTATTATCCTAGAATTAACCAGTGGCCCCTGTTCCTCTAACAGCATGTACATAAAACTGACTAAACAATGCAGGTTTTCTGCCCAACAGACCAAATGTGGACCTTATTTATACCTGTTAACGAAGTTTCCAAGATAACAAGACTTGCATAGTTAACCAAAATGTAAAAACTTAACACGGATAGTACTACTTATGATCTTAACTCCTAGTGGATTTTTCAGATAAATTAAATGCTAATCCTGCAGCCTCCAGTTATGTGGATTTTCAATTACTGCGTAAAAAATTACTGCTTACGAGAAAAGCTGTGCAAACTTCTTCACTTAACACATTCATCTTGTTTCTGCTAAACTAAATACTGGAACAAATCCCAAACAGATGGAAGATAATTGCTTTAGGAACAATTTATTTAGGTTTTATCCAATTGGTGTGTGCTTTTACAGTTTTTTTAATATATTTTTTTCCCTTAAAAATATACACTCCTAATTTTGTCCAAATACTTGAAATCCTTAGGAGGAGGGAGTAGTGCAAAACCAATGTCTTTTCTCAGTCACATGGACTTCCTTAGATGTTTTATCTTTTACTAAATAGCATTACTGGATAAACTGAGTTTCACTGTTTCCTTTTTTTTTTTTTTAACATCATTAGGATTGAATGGGCCCTGCATATATATAAATCCAAATGTGACCTTGAATTGGCTCCTAATAAAACGAGTTGGAATGATCTAAACTGATTTAGGACATATGTAAATTCAATATAATATTATATAACTTGACATGTTTTTTTTTATTAGTGCAATACAGCTGTTCTCATAGATCCTTGATGAATTTAATATTTTTTGCTATTTTTAAAAATAATATGATTGACTACAGTACATATCATTAATGCTTTGTGGTGGACTGAATTCATTTTACAACCAACTGTATTTGCTCTTTTAAAATCTTAATGGCATTAAGAACTAGCCTCAATGACCTGAAATCATAGGTTTATACAACCTGGAGCTGCTTGGAGAAGCACAATAGGAAACCTTAGAGGAAAAACATCCATCTAGACCGCATTTTATGAGTCGAGACAATAGAAAGTGCCCCATTCTTGCTGTGTAGGGAGCATACCTGAAGTTTTCATCATGACAATGATTCAAAAGAAAAGACCTGGTCAAGCTGCTGTTGACTAGAGCAAAAAAGGTGAGGTTCTAAGGCAGCCATCTTGGCCTCATGATCTCAGAGATTTTAAAGATACAGTTCGTAGAGTAAAGCCCTGTGACTTAAATTATTTAAAGCATTCAAGCATGGACACTTTTACCAACCAAAAACACAAGGAGCCTTATTCAAAACTACCACAAAGTAATTCAAACTGTGATTAATGTCGAAGAACAAAGATATACATGAGGAACAGGGTTAGGTAAACTGTTAATCAGAATGATTTGGACAGTTTGTCAAGATTTAAAAGAGCAAATACTACTGTTTGTCACCCAAGCACTAAAAGAGTTTAAAAAAGGTTCTGTATTTTTATTCATATCGTCAAAAAATGGCCAAAATATCGAAAGTTATTCCAGAAAAATCAGCCACAAGTTGCACATAAATATATAACTTCCTTAAAGCTGCAGGAGTTTACTGTTTATCTGCACTTCTGATAGGTTCTAGCTTGTTGACAAATATACATTTGCAAACTTTATCAGAGAGTATGTTTGGTGGTTGAATGAAAGAACAGTGTTTCTGGCTTTTATTAATAATAGTAGTTAGCAGTGCAACAGATGGAGAATCCCTCTGGAGTCCAACTTGCAGCTGAAACAAAATCCAAACAGACATCACTCCTAGAATCAAGTTTTGACTTTCAAGATAAATTGAACCAGAGCAAATATTGCTATTTTTCCTCAGGAGCAGCAAAAAACAAAACAAAAAACAGCTGCTTTTCTCTGTTAAAAGAATAGTGATTAAAGTTGGGTTGCGGTAAAAAGTTGCAAAGGGTTGATATCTTCGTTTTATATAAATCTAGACGAGTTGGTACTGGAGGTTGTAGGCTAGTCTAAAACAGACCTTGACAAGTTCCAAAACGACTCGAGTCTTGAATACTTCAAGGTTTAAATGAATGCAAACTAAAACTATATTGCATTGATTGCATTGAGGATTGTGATTGACTTCAGAGTTGGAGGCCTTCCACAGATCTTCCTGTGTGAAACATGGGCTGGGAGAGGAACCTGCAAAGCATTAAGGTTAGAATAAATAACACTGAAAAATAAAGTGGCAAATAATCCCACAAAATTACTCAAGTTTGATACTTACAAATGTCCTTCTTTTGAACCTGAATTTCTCCGACCAGAAATGCTTTCAAAGTACCACTCTCTGTTACTGTTTCACATTGTAAAATCGCCGGTGGTGCAATGCCTCAAAGCTTTATTTACCGTTATACGACCATCGGCTTAACTGTGAATAACCTTCCAGTGTAAATTCATCCAAGATACTGTAAAGATTCATGGAATAATGTTTACATAAATAGTTTGAAGTTTTTAAACTTTATTCATTCATTGGTAATTGAAGTCTATTTTGATCTAGGCTCCTCTCTGACTAGAGGTTAGCTCCAGTTTCTGGTATCAATTCATCCAAATTTCTTCTTGAAGACACTATCAAAGATAACTTAAGTCTCCCTTATAAAATTCTGCTCTGTCCCTTTCAAGCATGCAGTGTATACACAGACTGCATGCCTGAAAGGGGTGCAGATGGACATGCATTTATGCATATTTATGTAAACTTGGTACAGACCTCATAACCTGAAATTTAAAAAACAACAACTTTGGATTTATGAAAGCACACAAAATTATTCAAAGATTTAAAAAAAAATCACTCAGCTGGCCTTTCTTTGTAGGTATTTATTATATGTAATTTTTTTTAAAAGCCATAAAAAAGGTGTCAGACATGATACTAAGATACTAAGACAAAGCGTATATTTAAATAATCCGACTAAAAACTACTAATAGAACTCACTGTACGGGGACCTCTTTTCCAGCCTGGATCTGTGTGGGAACCACGATCACATGTACTGACAGTGACCTTTATATGAACACACACATGAAAAAACATGAACACAAACTGTAAATAATGCATGTGTTTGCCAGTTTAACCCCTTAACTGCTGAATGTTCCTAGTGTATAGAACACTTCTTGTCTCATGTTAAAGAAATTAAACTAATTCAGATTTCTCATCAACCTTGAATCTAATATATAAATGCTTTTACAGATATATACCACTTTTCACTGATGTCTTGATTAATGTAACATCCCAGATATTACAGTAGCTCCTTTTAGCTCAGTTATCAACTGTTATTATTGAAGTGCAACATATCTCTTATACTGTATTAAACATGCTTTGCCTAAGTCACTTTAAGCATCAACCGCAGCATGCCCGAGTCATGTTCTGAGCTTTCTTTCCTCCACAAGTCGCACCTGTGTGTACCCAGAGAGTTGATGTATCACTGTTGCAGTTGTTGTGTGTGTCCGGGACCTTTTTGTTGTGTCTGCGTGCCTATGGTACGGTTTATGACGTATATATGAGCAAACGTGTGCTGAATCTATGCACTGGCGGTTTGTACAGAATGAAATGTGTACTATTTGTGCCTGTGTGTCATGTGTTTAGTATCCATGTGCCTGCCTAAAGTGTGTTTAAAATCAAAATCGTGCGATGCGTTCAGAAACACAACGGAATACTAACAAAAGAAAGTAAAGTGTGGATATTTGAACTTGTCCTTTCTTTGTTTCAGTGCCTAGGATGTTTATCAGATTGTTGGACATTGTTGTCTTCAGTCACTTCCTGGTAGTAAACAGGATGCTCACAAAAGGCAGTTTATACACACCTGAACGGACACAATGGCGCCACTTCTTTACCTTAAATCTGCTTCTGTGAGTGAGTGACAAAAGCAATGAAGAAAATGTAACTTTTTAAAATGAATATATAGCATGCAGACTGCTGATTATGTTTCCTTTTAGTAGTATGAGTTCAGGAGTGTAAGTCATTTAAAAGCTTCATGTCATTTGTTTGGTCAAATGTCATCTTGAAATTATTAGTATTGTGTAAAAAGCCTTAAAATAAATTAATATCTTACTGCAGAAGCACAATCTCACTTAATTTTATTTGATTACATTTGAGTACATTTTTGAAGGAACTGAATCAAATATTAGGATTTTTTTTTATATGGCTGGTGCCACATATATTGGTTTTTCTAAGAACTCCCTAAACTGGATTAAATGAAAAACAGATTAATTTAATCCACCAGTTCTCGCTGTCCTATTTAAATAAAAATATTACAATTTGTATTTATGTTTACCATTCTTCAAAGATGATAAAAACTGTTCTCTAGTAAGGCAGTCTTTTTGGTTGTTCTTCATAAATTAGGACATGACTTATAGATTCAGATCCATGTTTCCAGCTGTTTTCGAGCAAACATGATAACAAACAAAGACTGATGAGTACATGTTTGCCTTGTTGCCATTAACAGTGGGGGAAAAAATCTTCAGGAAAGAGTATTGTCTTGGGATCATCAAGTCTCCTTAAAAAACACAGTAAAGATGTCAAGCAGATTGTTTAAGGCAATCCATAAAGAAAAACAAAAAAAACAATGGAGTCGTTGCTAAACTAAGTCGAAATCTTTCGTCAGATGAACATTTGTGAAAATAAAGTCTCTGTTTAGTTTTTGTATAAAACCCAAAGCAAACTGTAGTAGCTCCTCCCCACTGTTTAGTACAGTGGTGGATCTGTGATGCCATGGGCCTTTATCTCTTTCAGGCTGATTTCACACCAAATTTTTTAAGAGTGGAGGTTAATTTGTAGTGGGAATGTGTAAAGGAGGGAGAAGAAGAAGCAGAAGATGCAGAAAATTAAGATTTTACATCAAAAGATGAAAAAATAGGTGCAGGCTCACCGCTGCATTAAAACATCAAAGTAGCACTAAAGACCGTTTCCCCACCGGCTTTTTATTCTCACTACTTACTTGATTGATCATTGGTGAGGAAAAGCAGCATAAATGCCCCCTCAAAGGTCCTGATAGTCTTGTTATGATGAATGCCAAAGTGTGCTTTGGCATGCACTTTAACCTCTTCTTCGTGCAGAGATGTGAGGGCCTGGTATTTAGTCATTACAGGGCACATAAGAGGCACACAGGACAAACAGCCTTGCGCACAGATGGCTAGTTAAGCTAAAGTTTATGTTTTAGTGTTGTAGCGTTTCCCTGAGTACCCAGAGAGAACCACTGCATGCATAATGGGAATATGCAAACACCATTTAGAAAGACCCCCATCCAGGACCTTCCTGCTGCCGTGCAACACTGCATATTACTTAACCGCTATGCACCCCTTGGAGTTTTCTGGGACCTTTTTAAAATGTAATTGGGAGTCTTTAGATAGCAGAAGTAAAAACAATGGTACCAGTAATACTTAACTTAAAGTTTTCTTTAGATTTTAGCTAAATATTATGCTGCTTCAGTGAACCAGTTATTTATTTTAAGGCTACTTACTTCAGGGATGCCTCTAAATTTTAGGTCTGCTGTATGAAAAATGGAGTTCAAAAGCCTGAGCAGAAAGGGGGTGCTCATTGTTGCCTGTCTGTTTTATACTTTACTAGGATCTTACACAGGCCTTGTGTAATTAGATTAAAGTCACCACATGGTAGAGGTTATAGAAACCTTCTGACTTTTAAACCCACCTCTAACCAGCCAAGAGAAACCAACACAGCTTCTCCTCAGTCTGTGCTAGTTTTGTCGGCCCTGCTGTTATGGACTCTTTGTGTTGTGGCTTTTCAACTTTGTCTCTCTGTATTCCCTTTTTGCACAAGTCTTCACACGGATGTTTTGTAATGACAAATGGTCAGTTTTCTGTTTATTTCATGACTAAATACTAAGAATAAACAAAAGATTACACCATCTACTTCTTGCTTGTCTTTGTCAGTCGTTCAGGAGGAGATTTTGGTTCCAGAGCTTTTTCTTTCTATTCTCAGTCTAATAAATCTTTTAGTACCAACTATAATTATACTCTGGGTATCACGCAGCAATCTCTCTCTTCTCATCGCCTGTGCCATGCTCTGAGCTCCCATAACCTTTCAGGGACGTGTCATAACAACATAGCAGACATATTTATATGAAGGCCAAAGGTGACATCATAAAGTTGTTTGCACCTGCCGCTGTTTTGTTTCTGTTTTCTGGTGCTTGGTTTTCTAAAGCTTAATGCTCAGCCTTTAATTATTAAATATTACAGACATATTAGTTTAATGTAGATTTGGCCACCCATTCTGCATCAAAGAATAAAATCCCAAAGGAGGCAACCTTTTTCTTGCTTATTTATTAACTAGCTTAAATACTTTCAATTATAAGGAAACAAAAAAACACATTTTGGTTGGTGTTGAGCCATAAGACAAATAAAATACATTTTTACTCATTCTAAGATTCGTTTTGTCCATCATTCATCCAGCTACTAAGTCCAGCATCCTAAAGTGAGGGATTAAAGATGGTGATCGGTCCTGTGTTCTTTCCATCATCTGTGTCACATGGGTTGAAGAAGGGAAACAGGGGAACCATGACAGTTCCAGTGGAGAAGGTGTAAATCGGCGCCATTGTAACGGCGTTGTAGAACGTCACTTCCTCCCCCTCACAGTCTAAGAAGACGCCGATGCGGATAAGACGGGCGGACACGGTGACCTTTGTGGGCTTCGGATCAGTGCATGCCAGGATAGAGCCGCCCTTCAAGGCCAACGTCCAGAGGCCGATGGAGGTTCCAGTTTCTGTCATCTCTCCTCTGGGAACATCTTCTCGTGCCACACCTAACCTCCATGCTGTTTTGTAGCCCACCTCCACTTCCCAGTAGTGCCGGCCGGTATTAAAGCCCTGCTGGCCCAGGAGACAGTAGTAGTAGTTGAACCGACGTGGGTTGGCTTGGACCCCTGATGTGTCCTTATCTTCATCGAACCAAACAGACGTGCAGGTCTGAGACAGGGATAGATTAGGGTGGGCAGTCTCTGGGTCAAACTTCACTGATGTGATATCTAAAAGAAAAATGGTTTCAGGACAATGAGATTTACTGACCTTAAATGTGTTTATATGGAATAGAGGTGTGTCTCAAAACATTGTGGTATTGTGAAAAAGTTCAATATTTTTGTCACTTATTTTAGACAGTAAAACTCATAATATGTAGATTAAAGGTATAGTGCAGGATGTTCTCTTTCTGGGTGGATCGTCAAAATAAGTGGTCCTCCTAATTGTCAATCATTCTGGTGATATGTTTACATAAGGCCGCCCTACGCGCTCGTCCCCATTTTCACTTACTGGTGGTGAGTCTGACATAGAGGAAAATTTGCAAATCTTCTTTAGGAAAGTAAGCTTGTATGATTGATGCAAACAGCAACATTAAAAACAGAGCACAGATCCTCTCTGGGGGTCGGATCAGACCGGTTAGTGTCCACTCAAACACGACATGGTCACAAAACCAGCTCTGGGTTCTAGAGAGCCAACTCTATGTGGATAAAAGCGCAGAGTTTTGCAGTGTGTGATGTGCCAAGTCCAGTTGGAGAATTATACCAACATCTCCATACAGCTTGTTAGAAAGCCAGTGGACATATACCAGCAGATGACATGGCACCCAAACCATTACTGACTGTTAAACCATTGTTATAAACATGAAACAAAAACCCTACTTTCATATAGCAATATGAATTTGTAGCATTAAGCAATAGTCCAGATGTTTTTGCATAGAATTTTTGATTTTACTTCTGTTAATCTTATATTTTCTAAATTTGGGGTTTTTAACTATGCATGCCATTATTATAATTTACAAGTAATGAAGTAATAAAAAACTCTCCTTATGTGTAATTAGTAAATAGGATGTTTCTATCTGAAATCTGCTTTGTACTTTATGATTTATTACCTAACGGTTTTTTTGTTGTTGTTGTTGTTAGGACTCCTGTCTGTGTGGTTTGTGTTTTGTGTGTTTGTCTTCCTTCCTCCACCAGGCGGAGCCTGGTCCTGGTTCGCCTCCTCACACACCTGCGGAGGGTTACCTCGTTAACGGAGAGCTCTTAAGCTGCTGACTGCCACTGTCTCGACGCCAGAGTGTTTGCCAGTTTTGAGTACTCTAGCCAAGCTGAGTTTTGCTGAGTCAAACTGAGTTTTTGTCTACCTGAGTTATAACCTCATTTTGTTTTTGCCTCTCGGCAGGAAGTCATCCTGCAACTGGATGTTTCGGACCTTCTCTCCCCTGGAAGGATCTTCTGAGAATCAAGCTGAGCTGAGGATTAAAGGGTGTGATTCAGATCAACCAATTTCCCCAAGGAATGTCTGGGGCTTCTCTCTGAGCAGGGGATTCAGCTCCACAACAACCCGTTCAAGTACCGCAGGAAATCTAAGTGGCAGTCATTTTCTCCGTTCACCTACAAACAACCGCATTCTGGGTAAACCCTGTCCGCCCTCCAACTAATGAGACTAACACTGGAACATCCCCACACCGACTGGAGTATAGGAGTCAGCCATTTTCTGGAAACGTGAGTCTGCAATCTATTTCTCCTCTTCAAGTTTGAGAATCAAATTTCCCACTGAGCCTGAACTGACTGCAGTGTCTTCCCCTCACTTTCCAGTTCCAGTTGAGCAGTGTTCAGAGCTACACTGGATTCATCACAATCTTCTCAATAAACCAGTTAAACTTTCCCCTCTCTGTATTGGTTTTCTGCATGTGGGTCCGAGCTCTTGATAAATTCATGACAGTTGTTGTTGTTTTACTATTTTAAATTTGATCACACAACTGCTTTATTGGGTATTTCTTAGGAGGAGGAGAAAGAATGGATATATGGACTTTATGTATTTTTAAAAGACAAAATTCTGAAAATTAGGTATGCCTTTGACTCTTCCCTTCACTTTGATACCCCTAAATAAATTCCAGTGAAATAAATGTCTTTGGAAGTCTCATACTGTAATAATTATTCTCACTATCAGTCCAACTGCTCTACAAATGTCTTGGAAGTTTAAGAGGTCATTAGTGAACAAACTGCATCTTGAAAACCCATAAACACCACAAACTGGTCTGGGAGGAAGTGGTGAGGAACTTAATGCAGTGTTAGACTATAAAACAATGCTGACTTTGAATGTACCACAGACCACTGTTCAATCAATTAATCATTTAAAAAATGTTAAGTGTATATCACAACCACAAACCTACTGAGACATGGTCATATTATCTGAGCTGACAGGGAAGCTGAGGAGAAAACCAAAAAGCACCCTCAGGGATGGAGAGCCATCACTGTATAGAAGTCTAAAGACATCATGCTGAACGGGGGAAAAGGTGGAGGTAGCATGATGCTCTGGGGATGCTTCTCTTCAACTGGATTGAAGTTGGTCAGAGTTGATAAGAAGATGGATGAAGCTAAATACTGGAATTACATAGCATAATTAACTCTGAGACTGAGGAAGAAGATCTCCTTCCAGGTAGACAATGGGCAAAATGTGTTTGTTTTCTGATTCCACAGAAATTGCAGGTATAGTGTGAAAAGATGCTAAATGGGTTCACATACCGTACTCTTGCAAAGAGGTGTTAACACATACTTGGGTAAAGGCAGCTTTTCATGTGTTTCCATATCCTGTATTGGATGGGACCCACAAACCAGCCTGAGCGGACCTCTGTGTCAACCTCTGCAGGAAGAATAAAGTGGACCTGAGACCTGAAAATGCAAATTAAAAGGAGAAAGGTTACAGTGGAGGACACTTAGCATAGAATGTTGTACATTACAAGCATACCATCAGCACACACACAGGATTAAAGGCTAAGGTATCACAGAGTATCTATTTTTACAGACAAAAGACAGTTGCAATACAAAAACAGACAGACAGACAGACAGGATTTTTTTTTTATATTACTAAAAGCACACTTTGAAAAAAACCTGCCTTTTTACAAGATCTTGGATTTCCTGCAATGAAAGACAAAGTTTAGAACATGATCAAAATGCATTTGCTGACAAATCCACTGACCGCCTCTCTTTCTTTCCCTTTTAAATGAGAAATTGATTTGCACTTATATAATCAGACTGGTCAACTATTTAGCGGATCAATGTCAGTATCTGGTCTGGAGCCAGGAAAGGGCAGCAGAACAAATTGAATGCTTTTCTGCAGACATGCAGCTCAATCTGAAGGCTTAATCTCAACTAAAAACAGGAATAGTATGTACACATATTTACTTCTTTATTGTCTATTTATTTATCCAACTATTTATTATTCTAACATATTTATTAAGATCTGTTTAGCCACATCACCAGTCTTCCTCACTTTGAGCAGTTTAGGACTATCCTCCTCAGTCAGCTTGCTGTTCAGCACTGTTATTGCTTTTTCCAGATCCCTTCCTTGTGCCTCTATCTTCTTCTCTCTCTCCTTCAGCTGCTTCAGCTGTTTCTGCCTCTCCCTCCTCAGCCTTTGCAGGTCTTGATTCTCCTCCTCTTCCAAGAAGCGATGGAGGTTATGAAACTCGGCTCTGATTTCCCGTTCTAATTCTTCAAACCTGTTCTAAAAAAGATGGGAGGGTTATTAGTTATCTTGGATTTTTCTTTCAGAAGCTGAATGAAGGAGTCATAAATGACTTATTTCTTAGTGGATTTTGGGCTTCTTATATTGGTCATATTCGTTCCCACAGGTGGAATCAATTTGCTGTTATAACCTGAAATACATTCTTGTAAAATTATAGAACAATGATTAAATGTAGTAAGAGTCAAAATTATGAACAAATGGTTTTGCCCTTTTGGACATTGAGTTTTTCAGTTTTCTATGTCATTCTGTTTTGTTGATCTTTGGTTTATTTTCCATTCAGTGTTATAGTTAAGCTGTGTTGCTTTTTTGTGTTACATTCTGTTGCCCCCTTGTGCCTGTCTCCTTTCCCCTAGCTCCCTTCTAGTCACTTCTATCCACACCTGCTCCATATCCGCTGATTACCTCAGTCTTTGTTCTGTCTCCCATATATACTTTGTCAGTGCTGGTTTCTTGCCACTCCTCATGTGTGTTTTCCCCTGGTTTTTGGTTTCCGGTATTTTGTTCCTGTTGCCCTTTTGATTTTATTAAACCTGCAAGAACTCATCTCTGCCTCCGTCATCTCTTCAGTTGGGTCCTCAATCAACCTCTACCCAGATGTTGACATTTTAGACTTCATGAGCTTGTTGCCTACATATATAATGCTTTACATTTTACAACTTAAAGTTAACAACCAGCTTTATTGTATTTTGGGCAGATTTCATAACACAGAAATGACACAATAATATGAATAAATATGAGTATCTTACTTCCCATATAGAGACTAAGATCTGTATCATCTCTTATTTTTGAAATAGCTCAATCACCATCTCGTCGCATTGAGTTTAGCTACAGCTGTTTTATAGGATAAAGTTATAACTATTATTCAAACTTAAGAATATGCTTTGATATAAGCAATAAAAATGTATGTTTAGCATGCTAGTCCTGCTGAAGAGTAGTGCCTTGCCACAGTAGCAGGTCTTCAGCAACCTTTAACAGTTTTTTTAAGATTGCCCACATTTAGCTCCACCCACCTTATTGAATACCTCTCCATCCTGAACCCTACCCAATGATTTATGCTGCTGCCATTACTCTTCTGTTGATTTGTTTGGCTTCCGGTAATATGCTATAGTTTCCCACCTCATTGTGTTTTGCACTCATTATTTTGGACTTTTAGAAAAATGTAAACCCAAACTCTTTCAACTTTTTTTCTCAGCACTCCAACAGAAAGGCAGTTTTTGTGAAGTGAATAAGTAAGGTTGTCCTGCAACCTTTGTCAAAGTAACAAAATATATAACGTGCCTAATGTTTTCAGAGACTATGGTTATGGAATTTTATTCTATTCAGCCAAACCTACAGGTTGTGTTGGAATAAAGGTACCTCTACTTCCAATGAGTCTATGAAAGTCTCTCTCTCTGCTTCTCTGCATTCGTCTACCTCATGTTTGATTCTTTTAATAGCCTCGACAAGCTTGGCCTGTAAAACTCACACATTGACACACACAGAAGAGACAGGTTATTAGAGAAAAGGGAGTAGAAACATTTCAGATTTATTATCCTGCAAAATAAAACAGTGTTCTTTTAAAAGGTTAACCAAAATACAAGTAGATTATTAAAAAACATGTAGGCTACCTCCATCCAGCGAGAGCTAAAAAACATTAATCTTACCTTTTTCTCACAGAGAAGGCTTTTGCTGCAGTTGTTGTTTGTGTCTTTGATGTGGTTCTGGTACATTCCAGTTTTCTGAATAAGGAACAAAACTGAAGCGAAGGGACCGAGAAGAAGCTGAAATAAAAGTGAGGGAGGGAGTCAGGAGGGTAAGGCAATGTGAAGGACATTAGTACACATCAAGGAGACAGTAAGACGCATGGGGGGATTAGACAGAAACACGGATGCTGACACAATGAAAACACCAAGCAAGACAAGGGCATACATCCAAGCAGAAATTTACAAGAAGAAACGCATTGACAGGCTCTGGCAATCAGGAGCAACAGTCTGACCTGTGAATATATGGATCCATTAGAAGCAAGCAGGGGGGAGGAAGAGGAGGGGCGGGATGAGGGGGAGCTGCCGGGAGGGATTGTTGGCTGATAGGGAGAGGTTGGCAGCAGCGATTTATGGAAGCAGAAACAGATGAATCTATTTCTGTCTCCCCGTGTCTTTGGAAAACAACAAGAGAGAAAGCCAGCCAGTCAGAGGTTGTGTTGCGTATCAGTTGTTGTGCCTGGAAGGCAGATGATCCATGCTTATTTTTGAAAGGTGGCTCTCTAATGTCTGTAGAAGAAGGTGACGAGATCCTGGGCAGCAGCTTTATGAGCTGATCATGCAATTAGAGCTGAATAGGCATGAAAGGGTATTGCTTTTTCCATCTTTGAGAGGGAGGGATGCAAACTAAATGTACCGTTTACTGTTGTTTTCCCCTGAAGGAGTGTTATCTGTGTGTTAATAAGGCTCAAACCTGCTGTTGCCCTGTCCACTTCTCCTGATCTCTAACTGTCCCCCCTCCCCCCAACACCCACTAAAAAATAGAGGGCCTGGCTACAGGCTATGGGTATGTGAACTGAAGCAGAGTCTCTGCAAATGTTCTTCATCTATAATTCATCATTTTGAGCCCGAGTAAGTGACTGTGGCGGGCTAGGGTTAGGCTGCAAACTTGGTGCAGTACAGGATGAAGCAGATAGAGAGGAGCCCTACAGGGTGGTTTAGTAAAGGAAAAAACTCTACTGCAAGTTTGCATTTTACAGACAGGCTCAACATTATAGCTTGCTAAAAGTAAAGAGGCAAACATTTTTTTTTTTTACTGTATAATATATTTCATTATTAAATGTACATATTTGAACTTGACTATAAAAGGCACCTAAATAGGAAGGTTTTCCATCACGGTCTCTGGGCAGAATAGAAGGAGGAAATATGTTATAAGCAAAACACAGCATGAATACAACTTTTTTTAACAAAATAAACAGCAATAAGAGAGCATATGAAGGAGTTAGGGCTTCTCAGTGGCACAGTGGGTAGCACTGCTTCCTTGCAGCAAGAAGGTTCTGGGTTTGATTCCCGGCCCAAGGTTTTTCTGCATGGAATTTGAATGTTCTCCCTGAGCATGTGGGGTTTCTCTCCGGGTACTCTGGCTTCCTCCCACAGTCCAAAAACATGACTGTTAGGTTAATTGACTTCTCTAAATTCTACTTAGGTGTGAGTGTGTACCAGAATGGTTGTTTGTCCTGTTTGTCTCTATGTTGCCCTGTGATGGACTGGCGACCTGTCCAGGGTGTACACTGCCTCTCGCCCGTAGACAGCTGGAGATGGGCACCAGCACCCCTCGTGACCCCACTTGGGATTAAACGTGTAAGAAAATGGATGGATGATGGAGTTTTATGTAAATACATCAACATATCATATATGGATACTAATACATACACAAAAATAAGTATTTATCTAAATGTGTTAGATTATCCATTTCAAAATGTATTACTTTAATACTGCACCCAATGTTCGCATTGCTCGATGTGGTGTTTCATCTTTCTCTTTACAATGCTTAATCTATTCTAAGTGGGGGTTTAGGTTAAAGCAAATTTGCAGGTACTAAAACCTTTGGCTGTGTGGGCAGGTACCAAGTCCCAATGGAAATCATGTTCTCCATAAAGCTTGTCAGCAGAGAAAACAGAAACATGAAGCACTATTCAATTTCCCAGTGAACACTTGTGCTAACACTGGATTTGATCAATACTAAAGCAACAGATTACATGACTCTCAAAATCATTACTGACTTCAAAAACTTTGCACTTGATGGAAATGCAGTGATGTGCCTCGGTTCTCTTTCAACCTTGATATCTGAATTAATAAACAAACAATTAAAGTGGATCCTGGAAAAAATAGCTTTTTACAACTGTATAAATGTCCATGTCCATCACCAGAAGTTCCCCATTGTGGGACAATACAGAGATTTTCTATTCTATTCTATTCTATTCTATTCTATTCTATTCTATTCTATTCTATTCTATTCTATTGTAATGTATTTTAATGTTATCTCTGGTTCAGGGGCAATAAAACACAAACAGTGGACGTCAAGGTTCTGGTGACTCTATATGCAGTCTTTATTAAACTTGCTTCCAGTTTGCTAAAACCCAGCTTTTTCTAGAATAGGCTTTGCATTTCTTGTGGATGGCTAACAGCTCAGCTGTCTTAAGAAAAAACTATGAGAAAATTATTCTATTTTTTTACTTCAATATCATCATCTAATTTTCTGATGAAAACAAAATTATTATGTTATTTTTTTTTTCTATCGACGTAAACATCAATAAATAAACGCTTGATGTACTTTGTATTTTGTAATGAAACTGCGGCCTGTTCTCTCAGATGAATGTTGAACTACCACCGTCTGACCTGTGAGGGGCAGTACTGAGCTGGGAGGGAACTACGCAGCCGGAAATGCTGTAGAAAAAACGCATGTAAACAAGAAAAATGTCGCTGAGAGCAACCCAAGCTAAAGGTAATTGATGCTATTTAAAAAGCCAAAATACGAATTCTGGTTTCAGGTTTTACAGTTTGAGGCTCTTTTACATGTTTTAGTGGTCTTTGTGCCCTGTATAAATAAAAATATAGCATTAAATACTCAAAGCTCCAGCTAACTAAGCTAACTGAGCTTCCAGTATACAATGCACTGCGGCTTAACAGAAGTTCGGTTGGTTAATTTGATTGTTTTTGGCATGTATTTTACAGAAATGAACGGCCAGACAGACGTCGAGGTCGACTACAAGCGAAAATATAAAACTCTTAAACGAAAATTAAAATTTCTGGTTTATGTGAGTGCTTTGAGCTTTTTTTTTTAAGTAATGATGGTTTAAACCCAGAATGCATACCTTATTACTGGTTTACACTGGTTCACAGGAGCAGGAATGTTTTCAGGAGGAGTTGAGAAGGGCACAAAGAAAACTTCTAAAAGTTTCTAGAGACAAAAGGTAAAGTGGTTCCTGCTTGATCATGTCCAAGTGTCCAAATTAAAAGTGGTGTAAACTGAAGTCTGGTCTGTTTTGTAGTTTTCTTTTGGACAGGTTGCTGCAGTATGAGAGGGTGGATGAGGACTCCTCAGGTTGGTACCACATCATACATCTCGTTCTGAGCTGATTTTAGTTTCCTGTCGAGTCAGACATTCTTGCTACTTTCTCCAGATTCAGATGCAACAGTTTCTTCAGAGAACAGTGAAGGCGAAGGACTAAGGGAAAGGGAAAGAGAACGAGAAATTGCTAAAAAGTAAGCCAGAGATTTATATTGATTGACCAGAAAAGGGTTCATCTTTATCTGCATATAATTCAATTTGGACTGAAAAGATCAAACAGTTTCACAGACTTTAGCGTTTTTTCAAAAGAAGGTCTTTATCATTGGATTTAACCTTGTATTTTTAATATCACAGATCTTTAGAAATATTACAAGAAGATGTATTTTAAGTAAAGAAATAGGTTACCGAGTTGTATTATTTATGTTAAGAATATATTTGGGCTGAAAAAATTCATCGGATTAATCGTAATTAATCAATTATTGAAATAATGATCAACTAAGTTATTAACTGGATTATAGAGACTCTAAAACATGCCTTTTGCTGACAGAGCAACCCACTTAGAAAAGTAAGTATATCAAGAGAATGAAATACATAAATATTTTGCATTTAAGATAAAAAAAAAAAAAAACATGCTCTATCCAGAACTCCTTAAACGGAAAAGTTTTAGTTTCACCTGGTTTAATTTCATAAAAAAATCTCCTTTAAGAAACCTTTGGGTGTCTGATTTTTTATCGATTAATCAGAAAAATAATCAACAGATTAATTGATTCGCAAAATAATCATTAGTTGCAGCCCTAGAATATATGTAGAAAGACATTAAAAGTTTTTAAAATGCATTATAAAGACTTTGGTCTTTGGGTTTGGTTTCATATTGTATACAGTATATCCATAGAGCCGGGAGTTTCTCTCAAAGTCATTCTTTTTTGTCTTGAATAGTTTTATCAGATATCACAATACCTTTAATTTAAAAGTCATTTTCTAGAATCTGTTCCAATCCAAGCTGACAGTTTAAAATAAACAATATAATCACGAATGAGATGATGAGCTAATTATTGGAGGTTGTAATTAATCGCATAAAAATACCATTTTATAATGATATGCAACTCCTTTTTGAGATCTATTTAGGAGTAGGGCAGGGAAATATAAATATATGTTGTGGTAATAATCTGATTAATTTCAATAGAAAATATAACCAGCGAATAATGCTGGGCGACTAATTGATTTTATTTTATTGATTAATCTAAATTTGTTCTTAATGGAGATTTAATTTTTGGAGAATCTTTCATTTCGTTCTTTTTTTACCAATACACACCTTGGGCTTCCAAAACTCCAGGTGACATCAGTTCATCACTTTTTGTTGTTAGATTTTTACTCATAACTGATAGTTTATTGATAATGCTCGCCTGAAACCTTTAGTGAGAAATATTTTCATTGTTTGTAGCCTTTTTTCCAGCTTGAATATTTCTGCCCTTTAAATTAAGGTCACTTCCCAGAAAGGACGATTGAAATACAAGCTAGTTTTTGAGAGCAATTATGTTATTTGCAATTTTTTTATATGAAACCTAAGTGTGAAAGGAAAAAAAATCAGATTTGATATGAAAATAAATAGATTCTTGAGGAATTTCACCCAGCTGTACCTGTGAGATGATCTACAGTTTCATTGAACTCCTTTAGAGCCACTAGGCATTCTGGGGAATGTGTGAAAGGGTTTATCCTCTCAACCCCTCATGGCCAGGCTAGACAAAATTGGTATTAAAAGTTACAGATAAACAGGGCAAGCAAAACCCCATACTGGCCCATGCCTCTGAAAAGGAAGTCATTGTTGGCTCGGCTGACCAGGCTTTCTTTCAACCTGTTTCTAATTCTTTAAGATATTTCTAGCTGACTCAAGTTTTTAGAGGGGACTTAAGGAAACAATAAAACTCAGTGAAGGCTGAGTGAAAATGTAAAGTAAAAACGAAACCTGGGTGTTTATTGGTTACATTTCTTCTCTCTATCATTAGGAAAGTCACCCAGATCTAAATAATGACCTTCCATAATTGAATTGCTGGTTATTATTTCTTACTGCTGTTGTTTTTTATGACTTTAATCCATCTATGTTGTCAAGATAAACAATTTAACTAAGCAAATTGTTTAGCTCCATAATTGTTGAAGCTCTCATTTATCACTTTGACCTCATCTGTGAATTCCTCATGCTTCAGGAGGAAAAGCAGCCCTGGAGCATGCCTTTCTTCCTCCTCCTCATCGCCTCATCTCTCTCTGCTGTCTCGTCCTGGGGTTAACCCCCTGCAGTCATCCAGTGCCGGATCTTACCTCAACACCGTGAGTTCTCCAGTTCTTGGTTATTTACCGCAGTAAAACTGCAGCCATTGTCATCTTCTCATCTGCAGACATATTCCCTGTTTTCATTGAATTTTTTATTTAATGTTTTCTTTTTTATACATGTTTTTATTTTCGTTTTTATTAAATGCCTTCACTGTCCTTGTGCTCCTCGTTCTCCCGTGTTTGTATGTTTGTGTTTCTTCTATGTATGTGTGTGTGCCTCAAACTCTTCATGAAATTGTGCATGTGGTCATTTGGAATAATCGGGGTGTGCATGTATGGGGGCAGATGCCCTTCCCACCAGAGTATTTGGCACCGCCAGTCGAGCGAATGAAGAAAGAGAGAAAAACAAAGACGGCAAAAAACAAGAGAGAGGCCACAGGGAAGGTGAGAGGAGGAGGGGAAAAAGGAGATGTTTACAGAGAAGTGATGATAAAACAGATTTACTCCTTCCAACGTCTTTAGTTTTTATTGGTTTGTTTTAGAATATTTTATGCAACATTTCTCTAAGTTAAGGTACATTACCAATTTTTGTCTTAACTTTATGTACACATCTGTGACATTACCATCCGTTGCCATTCACCTTTTTATTTAAGATGTTTTTGTCCTCTTTTTGTCCCCTTTTTAAATTTTTTTCCCTTCTTTTCCTTAGGTTGTTGCTCCGATGGCGGCTAACTACACGTCGCCTTCTGGAGCCGCTCAGGCAGCTAGAGGGCCCTTCAGCTGGGTTCCCAAACAAATGCTGAGCGGAGACGCGGCTGATGAGGAAGGTGAGAGCGACGGGGACAGCGACAGGGGCGACGAGGACAGAGGGGAGGGAGATGAGGCTGAGCTCGTCATTGACATTCCCAATGAGTGAACGAGCAGGAAGAAGGAGGAAAAGGATGACAAAAAAGACTTGATTTTTTTTCTCCTGAAAGCCAAGCTCCCCCTGGTGGCTATAGGATCAATTACAGTGTGATTGATAATGATAATTTGCAGATTATTAATAAAGCCATGATCTGGTAATATTTCTTTTTGTGAAGGTGCACTTATTGTGCATTCCCTGGATTGAACAGATGTTTGAGTTTTTTTTGTTGTAGTAGTTTTTTTGTTTTGTTTTTGTTTTTTGTTTAACCATCCAATTTAGTACAATCTATCAAATGTTTTTCTCTGAATGAGACAAATTTTGACCTTTTAAAGGAAAAATGTAACCCAGGGTGTCTCTAAATGAGGTCGTTTTGAATCCAACAGAGGAAATAGAATGCATAATTGTCACCCCGTTATGCTACAAAGCATTGGTCCAAACTGTATTTAGATTTTGTTTTTTTAATTGTCTTCATAGGGGTATCTTGATCTCAATGCTCTATATGTTCTTGAAAGCTCATAGCATTTCATCACTGTTACATGGACCACATCAAAGTTGTGATTATATGGTACTTTACTGACTCATTAATGCTCCGCACATTGCAGGATCAGTTTTTTTTTCTTTCTTGACAGCAAAAGATGTTTCGCCTTAAGCAGAATTTTTGTCTAAATATGGATCTCTAGTTAAGGATTAACTCGAAAGCTACCACCTTGTTCTGATATGGTGGCACCTAAAACCTTAATCTGGTTCGGTGGGGTTATTATGTGTAATTGGTCTCTCTCTGTAATAAAACATGTTGTACCATCATGAGCTTGTTCAATAAGCCAGTACCGCATACAGCATGTGTTTTATGCTACGGCAGAAGTGACAGACTTATGTGAAATCTAAAGGCTTGCACCATTCCGGGCAGACTGAGAAAACTGATGGTGGATTGTTGCAGCCTCACTGCACATAGGAACAGAGATGTTGTCAAGGAACAAAAAGCAACAGCTAAACATTCGCTGTTTTGACTTTCTAGACTGTTATTAGATGCTAACAGCGTTCTGTCCCTCTGGTATGAGTATGTCTAATATGAGCTTATCTGCCATAGCTTGCTAAAATGGGCCACGTAAATCTGACTGTCTGCTAGCTGCAGCTGCTCCACATATATATTGATATTTCTCAGAAGCTTATGAAGATATGACATGGTTCTGCTGCAGGTAGTAAAAGAATTACCCTGATTAGCTGCAGTTGGTAGCTATCTAGATCAAAATATTCATTTCGTGTGGTATTTGATATGCTGATCATGCTAATCAATGCCCACTTGTCTCATGACTCAGTATCTGTAATTTGATCATTTCTGCTGCTGTTTCTATTTTTCCACTGACTGTTTTATCCATTAACAGTCTTTTTGCTTTCCTTGGTCCAACCGCTGTCTCAAAGTTTGTCATTTGTAACCACAGAATTACAAAGTTGTACTTGTTACAGTTCTGACATAATTAATGCCTTTTTTTAAAATACATACACAATTTGTTTTTGCACCTGTACCGTTGTGTGTCAAAGTCTTTTCATTTTAACTCTAAACTTTTTTAAAAACTGAAATATTGTTAGCTTTGCTATATAAATAGCACAGAAGCTGCAGAGGTGTTGTATAATTCTTTATGTACGTAAAGAGCTTAAACAGCTTTTATTTAATGGCTTGATGCCCTGCTATGAAAATCACACCGATTTAAGGAATGCATTATTTAAAGTTAAGATTCAAATGTGTTGTTTTTGTCATCTTAATTCATATTTTGTCAGAAATCTATTGCTTGCTTCACCTCTGTCCTGAGGAATGCTGACACCACTCTGCAGAACCTTATGTTTGCCTTTGGCTCCTTTTAACCATAACTCTTGAGTAATGTGAAGGCATTCTGGCTGAACTCCACCCCGTCTTGTTGTTGGGAGTGCTTGAGATCTTTTTTTACTTTTCACTCTTACTGTTTACTTGCCATTGCCATAATGATTTTGTAAGAGTCCATGCATGCCAGAATCGTGCTTCAGCAGGCATGTTACTGATATTAGGAAATGCCAGCTTTAATCTGTGGGCCATGAAGGTGGGCGTGTGAGTTTAGAGTGAATGTGTTGCTGTCAGCGTTACGATTTAATGAGGATTTCATTAACAAACTGCTTATTTTAGAGCTCACTGCTTGATTTAGGAGCTGTTCAGATAAAAGCCATGTCTTTTTCTGACTCACTGGAATGTGCACGGCTTTGTTGCACAAATGTATTTTTTTGGGAATGCAGTCTTGCAGGTAATTAATAGGTGTGGGCTCAGGTTATGTGCCACACTGCAATGGGAGGTAAAGGTGTAGCTGCAGAGGGAGCGGTGAGGAGCACAAACAGCCAGAGGGTGGAACTGACAGAGGGGGGCGAGGCTGTCACTGGAAAGGGAAATTAAGGAGTAAGCAAGATTGTTCCTGCAAAAACTGATTCACTTTCACGGCTGGAAGGAGAGGAAGGCAGGCATGGTTGGAGTTAAACCAGAGAAAGAAGCTAGGAATCGGTGAGGGGGAAAACAGCAAGCCCATCAGCAGCCATTATTTATCTTCATCTGTACGCCGAGACCACTGGATAATTTATAAGCCTCCCCTCATTGTGTTTGAGAGGAGGGAAGATTAGCTGAGCTCACCACCATGCTGAGTCCTGCTGCTCTCAGTGCAGCAGCTGCTGCTGCTGTCTGCCTGCTGGCACTTCTGGGCCCAGGCCTGTCTCTTCCCGCTGAGCAGGACTCCGAGCCAGGCCTCACCCTCTGCGACGGCTCCTTCTACAGACAGATGCTTCCTCTGGGAGCCTCAGCTGAGCTGCCCCTGCACCGCCGCTGCCACAGGCTGCCCGGGGGACAGGCGTTTGCCACTCTGTCCAGCCCGACCTGTGACACCACTGTCTGCTCTGCCTTTCATCTAAGCCATGGATGGACAGGGAGAGAGGAGGAGCATGGGGGAGAGACTGTGGTAAGGATGCATTAAAAATTAAGATAGCATTATAGAATTTCTGCTTGTATAGCTTATAAGCACTCCACTTAATTACCACCCTTTAGACTTGTTTTCTCTTAGTTTTTCCTGCAGGTCCAGGTTTTTACTTTTGGACTGATTCTTTGTCTAATTCTTGTCAAAATATAAACATTACTGATTGACCTTGCAAAGGTATTCACAGCCTTGAACTTATTACATTTTATGTACCTTAGCAGCCACAAAATTCAAAGTATTTAAGTGCTGTTTTATCAGAATAGTGGCAGGTTTAATTAGAAGGAACGTTAAGCACAGTTTTCACTTTAGAAGTATGCATAAGCATTTATTCAGTCTTAGCATCCAACAGCTTTCCTATCTTCTCAGTAAGTATAAATCCAGCTGCTCCTTGAAGGCCTGAGCATATTGAACATGAAGGAACAGAGCCGATAAGTGTATTTTGCCTTGGCAGAGAAGTAGATGTAGGTCATACAATACAAAGCTTTGAGGTTTCAGATAGATTTAGTCTGTCATCTGAAAATGGAAATACTAAAACAAGTCCTAGCTGTAGAGACATGGCAAATGTGGATAAAGTTTTGATGGCCAGATGAGACCAATACTGAAAAATTGGCCTACGGTACATTCAAAACAGTATGTACGGTGAAAAATAGAGACAGAGAACACACAAACTCCATAGTGATGGATGGTGCTGGCCGCAGCATGCTGTGGGGATGAGACTCGCAGGATACTGTTAAAGATCAGAGATATTTTTCTTCTTACTTTGACCACTAAAAAAAAAAATCTCAGTAATACAGAGCCATCACAAGTTTCCCCCCTGCAGTCTCTACCAAGTTCTGTAAAAGCCTGATAATGATGCTTTGACATTGTTCTTTTGGAGCATGAATGTATTTAAACATTTCAGAGAAGCAGTTCTAGAGGACCAGACTTGGAGACATGATTTAGAACCGAATTTATGCCCCAAAATGACCCAGTTAAAGCTCAGATCTATTGTTCCTTTTTACTAGTCTCTATTCAAAGCTGACCAACAACTTTTTGTATCACCTGCAAGTAAGAAGAGGATGATTTTCTACACAATATATTTTTCTATCGATAATCCATATATGTTACTTTTGCTGACATTACTGCAGTCTTTAACCCACGTTTTATTTCTGAGATTAGAACAAATAATCATTTGCTTAACAACAATAAGATCAGAGTCAGAGGTCATTTATTTATAATTACTAATAAGTTATAAAGTAGCTTTTTATCAGTCTTTAAAGAGGTTCTGATGCCTTCTAATTTGACAGGTTACTTATCAGTAAATGTAAATGAAAAAATCTTTACAATAATGTATATTCCTGTTTACAGTAGACCTGTATTTTGGTGGCTAGTAATGATTCAACCCCGAAACCAGCAAAGTAGCTGCTTTGTTTAACATTAGTCAAGTTATGCATTACTAAGGTTTTAGGAATGCATCGTGGAGGTTCTTGGTAAAAAAGAGAAAAGGGTTGTGGAGAAGTAAAGTTTACCTTGTTTGTTTTAAACACATGAAATGTTAAACATTAACTGATGTATTAATCACAAATGGAAAATTTTGCAGGAAAAGTAAAAAAAAAAAAAAAAAAGCAATGATTTGTCCAATAACAATATTTTCCTTTTTTTACTCCAAGACAGAAGAAGATGGTGCCAAAGCCACAGTTCCAGCTCTTCTTAAGGGAGGAGCAGATCAGTCTGATCCAAGCTCACCCATAAACTCCCCTTTTCAACAGTGGGACTCAGCAGTAGCAGCAGTCATCCAGTCTAGCATCATCCCCAAGTGTGCCGCTCTAGGAGGCGGCCTCTACATCCTGACAGGAGCAGGACGACTTGGGGCAGCTGAGGATGGAGATGAAGACTGTCAGGCCAAACTGCTGTGGTCTGCAGTGTGCTGCTCTCCTCCAGAGGGGAAAGGCAGCTTCAGTGTAGGGTTAATCAAAGAGACAGAGGAGGGAGAGTGGCAAGTGAGCATGAAGGAGCTGGAGGATATGTTAGGGGTGGCAGAGATATTCTCTGGAGGCTGTGGGGGAGACAACAGGGAGACGGCTGCAGCCATAGTGGGGCTTCCCAGTTACCAGCCTCATGCAAATGCTGCAAAAGCAGAGGCAGATGCAACAAATGTTATATCAGAAACTATTGACCCACATGCAAAGGAAGACATAAAGGAGGGCAGCAAAGTGCCTGAAGAAAGGTCTGCGGTTGGTGCTAAATCACAGAATGCTGATGTTTCTGACCTTTCAGACGAAACCGTAACAGAATCCCTACTTTCTGTGAGTAGCGAGCAGTCATATAGTGAACCTGTTACTGAAGAGGACTCAAACTCCTCCAGCACTTTGGTCTATCTCCTGTCCACCACCTTGTCCATCATCAAGGCCCCCCTGCACCCCGTCTTCTCCACCATCACAGAGTTTCCTGCACAGGTGATACGGCATAATCTATTGTTAAATCCTGACTTTCAGGTTGCTCTGGGGAGATACAGCCCTCTGCACACACACCACTAGCAAAGATGTACTAAAACCCTAAAAGTAAAGATAATCTTCTTTTAATGAGGGTGTGATTAAAAAAACCAGGAGAAAATCCGATAAAGGGAATTATACAGAGGGTGGACTCAGTCAGAAAACTGTTGGTTCAAAGCAAGCGTGTCTGGCTTTATCTAAACATGCGAAGTGGCTTATCGCTATTTGCTGGTAAAGCCTGGATAAATAAAGAGGGATTTATAATTTACATATTGCTAAATGTTAAATCCTTACTGAACTAAAAACTGATTTATTTTCTTATTAACTTTGACCAAAATAATCAATTTCCAGTATGCTCTGGCAGATAGATTAGGCTACTGCAGATGTAGTAAATGATGCATTGACTTATCAGCTCTCACACATCTTAACAGGAGTGGTAATGGATATAGAATTGGAAACATTTCTCTTTTTTATGTGCCAAATTTGAAATTATTTTAAAAAACTGCAACAAAAAAAATGTTAAATACATGGTGATGTTTAGAGGGGTTGTATTTATCTTTTGTTTCTTCAGCTCATGATGATAGATGTAACTAAATTATTAATTATCTGAAAGATAACCAGTCACAGGCAACTCTGGTTATTATAAAGCACCATAAAACTGCAACCTTAAGTATTCACAGAGTACTTGTATATAAAAAACAATTATGTCTTTATTTTTGATTAATATTCCTTTTTATCGGGTTTCACTTAAACTTTTACTGATAACATGTGCTCTTTTTAAATATCGATTGGATATAAATCAATCTGTTAATAACTTTGACAGCATCGTTCTTAAAGTGGAACGCTTAATTTATTTTAAATAATTCAAAAAGTCTCTTTATATTCATTACGCACACAGGGTATTTAAAGCATTTATTTCAGGTGGATGACTGCAGTATCCAGCTGTTTGAAAACCATTTTTTTGGTAATTGGAGTTCAGCTAAAATTGCACGGTGTAATAGAAGAACTTTTAATGCAGAAATTCTTATTGTGGTCTAAGCATGTCCATGTATTTTCAGTGTACCTAATAGTTATCTCTACTGACAAGCTTTATACAAATGTAAAGTAATTTTTTGGAACTGGGACCTGGAAGCTACATACAATGCTAAAAGTCTTAAAAGCTGGCTCAAAGACAATGATGTGTCTGTTGCTTGATAGGCCATCAAACTGGTCTGACCTGAGGATCTATGAAGGACTATAAAGAGGAAGATGAGGCATTATAGACCCAAATATGCAGATGACCTCGATGCCATTATCAAAGCAGCCTAGGCAATATTTTAGAAGAACCAAAATGTTGATTTCCTCCTCAGCACGCCTCATTGGTGCACTCATTCTTATAAAAGGAGCCCTAACCACATATAAAATGTGTATAATGTACATAGACTCATATTCATTGTGATAAAAATCCCCTTAATTTGTCTTATTTGACATTCTGCTTTTCTAAAAGTTAATTTAGGGTTTTAATTATCTGCAAGACATAATCATTAACTGAAATAAATAAAAGCCCCGTGTGTTTAATGAATTTATGTTTTCATTTATTCTAGTTTTCCAAGTTTAATGTCAAAGCTACATTTGAACATGCTCAGCGTTCGTCTGCTCATTTCTAGGTGTGGCCACATAGTTTCTTTGATCCCTGGCATTGTTTCTTTCCTTGCTAATCACATGCCAACGCCCTTTTCTTCTTCCCCAGGTAACTTATGTTCTTCAGGAAGATCTGGGAATTCTCTCCGCGCTGCCTGGTGACACCCTCACTCTGTTCCACCTCCTCATCTCTGACCTTCTGTCCTGGATGGGATCAGCTGCAGATATGCTGCTTGGTATTGGGGGGACCTGCTTCTCCAGTTTTTATTTCTGCACCTCCTCAATGGCAGAGGCCCTGCTGATCAGCTGCCATACTGGGTTAACAGGAATGGGAACCCTGGCTGCAGACACAGTGGGCATTTTTGGAGGCGCGCTGGATAATAGTTGGTGGGTGACCAAATTTTTTGGAGGGAGGCTGTGGGAGCAGACTGAGGGCTATGTGGGTACTGTGGCGTCTGAAATGCAGGGTCAAGCTCAGGGTGTAGGTGGGGGTCTGGGCAGGCTGGCCTGTAGAAGTGGGAGTGGAGTGGGCAATGTGTTCAGGATGGGAGGGAACTTTATAATAGGGATGTTGGATGTGATTTTAGGTGGAGTAAGGGAGGCGTTTGGGCAAGAATCAGAGTAAAGGATAAAAGGATTAAAGCCATAAATAAAGTGTCTTTATTCTGTTTTTGTTTAGATTTTTCTAATGCACCATGGTTAAAAAACAAAACAAAAAAACACTGATGTCATTTGATATGCCTTGCAGTTTTTTTTTTGTTTTTTCTTTTTTTTTTTAGGTTTTTTTCTTCTAAATAAATGTAACAAATTTTAAATGTTGCACATTGTTGATCACTGTGGAAAAGCTGGCTGTCCAAATATCTTGCTGCACCTTCAGGTCTGATTAAGAAAAACACACTGTTTTCACTGTGCTTTGGGATGGAAATGCTCAACTCCTGTGTTTGGTTTTAGCACCTGTACAGCTGAATAAAGGAGAATGCTTGCTTTCAACACTTAACATTTGCTTTTTATTTTTTTCAATTTTGTATTTGTACAAGGGGAGTGTTGGTCTAGTGGGTTAGAGCAGTGAGCTTGTGCTCTGAGAAGGTTGCAAGTACCCAGTTCAATCCCCACTGCCTCCACTTTGGGTCCCTGAGCAAAACCCTTAACCCCACGCTGCTCCCGGGGCGCCGCAAAATGGCAGCCCACAGATCCCCAAGGGGATGGGTTAAATGCAGAGGTAAATTTCTCCAATGTGAGAACAAAAAACTTAAATTATTATTATTTAATTTGATGCATTAAAGCAGTATTTATAAGTTAAAATAGCCATTCTTATAGTAATTTGATACTTGTGGGGATGTTTGTTTCCAGCTGTTATTGGATGAGGCTAGTTCACCAGTCCATCAATAAAGATGAGTTTAGAGTCGTCAGTTTAAAGCATGCATTACAGCAGGACCCACACCACTATGGCAAGCTATTTTAAAATAAATTCGGTTGTAATGCCTTTACATTGAAGATATCTCAAATTGTTTTATGACTCGACGTTTTAGCGATTCAAGATATCTCTAAATATATTTTCTATTTTCACTAGTCAAAATACTTATTCGAGATATCTCTAACTACATTCTGACTAGTCGAAATTACGTCAGATTTACCGGTACCATTAACGTGTATGGAGACGTCAATTTAAGATATCTAGAAGGAATTACTGACTATTTCAAATACACATTTCAGATATCTTCTATGCGTCCTAATCAGAATGTAAATACAGATATCTTAAATTACCATTCTGGATAGTCAAAATGTTTTTTAAGATATCTGGAACGTAATTATGGATGGTCAGACAAAACCGAATTTATGTTAAAATGGCTTCCCATACTCTTCCATAACATGCATTCCACACATACAGAACCTGCCTTTGATTTAAATGAGTTTTTCCAAAATAAGGAAACAGTGTTAAGGACTGTTACACCATACATCTCTTTTAGTGATTCCTAAGAGAAGGAGGCTGAGGGGGCAGACCAAGGCCAGACGAGATACAGTACACAGACTTTGCAACAAGTTCTGGGTCTCACTGGGAGGACGTCCAGGCAAGAGGCAATTTAAAAATCGGTTTCTGAGAGTGACATCTGGGCTTTTATTCAGGAGTTGTCACCTCTTTGACCTAATCCAGGATAAGTGAAATGTAATTATGATGTTATTTTGGATGTCACAACAAAAATCCATGATAGTTGTTCAAAAAATAATGAAATATCTGTTATAATATGGAACCATGACAGAACTGAAATTTTCTGTTATCTTTCCCTCAATAAAATTTCATACCAAAATCTTGCATATATAATAACATATCCTTTTCCTATTATATCTTAGCTTTCACATCTGCTGGACTGTGGTGGATCCTTCTACCTCCACCACAAAGTTTGTGTAAATTCATAGTTTTGCAAATGCAGATCAGCTGGATGTAGAAGCAACCAGGAACAAACCACTTTCCCAAGAACTGAGGGGGAATTTTGTTTAAGTTTACTTTAGTTATTTTGTCACCTTAATATTCAATTGATTGTGCTAAGTTAAAGAGTTGTTTTATGTTTTAGTTTTGTATGGACTTTTTTTGTTTTGTTTATTGCTTCTCTGTTATGTTATACCTCCCTCCTGTGGAAAGTTTAGGTTATTCCTACACTATATAAGCAGCCTCTGTTCTGTATCAGTGGGTCAGTTTTTTGTTTGAGTTCCTGTACAGTTGACCTCAGTTGAGTTGGGCCCAAATCAATGTTATTTATTATTTAAGCTATTTTGTATTGCTTTTGAGCCTTTGTTAACTATTTTTTATACTGTTAAATGAAAGCTTTTTTCCAATTTTTAACACCTTTTGTCCTTATTTAAGTTTGGTTCCTCACATGGACTCTATGCTCAAGAAGCTTTATCAGCAATCCCCTTGCCTCCTTAAAAGACTAAGTAAAAAAATACATTATTCTTTGTATAATGTTTTATTGCAAACAGGCCACTTGTTACTTATACTCATTTTGTAATTTCAATCTCGTGTTCTTTTGTTCTTTTTATCTTCCTCTTTATGCTTCCTCTTGTTGAAATTGACATCATAAATTACATTTGTTTTTAACCTGACGGTTAGAAAAAAAAATAAAATAAAACCCACAAGACTTTTATCTTGAAAACAATATGTTTTTATGAGGTGTGGCTTTTACTTTAGCCAGCCATGAGTTTTATGATGATAAACTTTATACTTTAAAAAAACAATCTGTCAGCTTTACAGTATTTACAGTTTTACAGTCTCTATACTTCAGCTAATGATTACTAAAATCAATTACTAAATTCGTAAATTATTATTTTTAATAATCAATTAATCCGATTAATCGTTTTAGCCCTAAATACTCTAATGACAAAGGTTTAGAAACCCTTTTAAAGTGAAGCTTTTTACCAACTGTAAGGGTGGGGTTGCAAAACCATACAATCCCAAAAAAATACAAATACTTTAAGTTGCCTGTCTCACCCAAAGGAAATTTAAAATAATCAGTAATTAATAGCCTGTTGCTGGATCTTTGAAGAAACATAACAAGTTTGAAGTTGAATTATGTGTAGGCCTTTTTTATTGGGAGGGTAACAAAACAGTACATGTTTTATTTTTACGCCAGTTTTGGAGGAGGCTATCACCCGGTTTAATATCGGTCATGTTCTCATTTTGGATCTCCTACAAACTTTGCTGTATGCTGAAGCTGTCCCTTAAATGTAACATGATTTAGTTATATTTTCCTTGTTAGCAAATATCATATTCATTGTAAAAAAAAAATAATAATAATAATAAAAAATAATAAACAAAACACAATGGTTTACCCTCTGCAGCTGGGTTCAAAAACGAAAAAAATGTTTTTATTGCCTGGTCAATATCCAACCTGTTCATTCTCACTGACTGTCTATGACACATTAAGACAGGCAATGTTATGTGATTATAACTCCCTTTGTTATTGGTACTGTTTTTAATTTTTTTTTGTTTATTGTTTTGCTCCTAATTGATACTTTATATGAATTCCCTCCTAGACTCTGCATCATTGCAGTTTGAAATAAAGCTTAAAATAAAAAAATGTTTTATTTATATTTTTTCTTATCATCCAACCATATATATTTCTAAAAGCCAAATCTTTAATTCAATATTTTTTATTTTAGTTTTCAATGTATTTTAAAACGTATTTGTTTTTTGTTTTTTTTTTACCGGAAGCTGTTGTTACGTTGCATCAGACCACGCATGCGCAGTAGACAGAGAACTCATGCGGCTGAGTGTATGCTAACTAAGCTGACGTCTCTCTGCTCCATTCAAAGGTATGTGCTACTTTTCTCTGTGCTTTTCAAAGAACTCCATCAGTTTATTGACAGCGAGTTTTAATTAAATTAGTGGCAGTAAAACACAAGAAAGGTTAAAAAAAAGTAAAGCTTTACTTTGACATGTAAGCTAAGGCTAATTAGCCATAGCTTCTTAGTGGAAGTTCTAAGTTGACAGGGGGTGATAAATGTCAGCTTTGAAACATAGTGAAATAGAGATGATATGCTTGTAAAATAACTATGTTTTGTTGCCATTAACTGGGGTGGTGTTTTTGTTCGAAATAAGGACATTTTATATTTACTAAAGGCTTAACCTAATAAGTCAAAATTGAACTAACATCTTTATTACTCATCAAGCAGTTCTGCATTTAATTCATATTATAGTACTAGGTCTAACTAGATGTGTGCACAAACTGTGCAGAAAGAACAGCTACCGCATTACATTGATATCACTGGCATTTTCTATGTTTTACTTTCTTTTTTCAGTAGCTTATATGAAGGGCAGAATTAAAGCAAGATGCCATTAAAGTAATACAAGAGAAAATATAAAAAGTTGTAATGTCCTGGAATATGTTTCCTTTAGATAATTTGTGTTAATACAATTTTTTTGTTTATCTTTGCCTAAATCATTTTATAAATAAAAGAAACAAAGCACCACTAAAGTCTTTGTGAATTCCTCACATTTTGTTTAACTTTCATATTCATGTTTGTTTCCGATAACATCTAGCAGGTAGCATGCAAGGACACGTTAATCAAATATGACACACCTTTGTAAAAGGAAATCTGGTAAAATAAAAAGGAAACTGTCTGCATTTGAAATGGGGAATAACATGCAAAAGTAATTAGCAATGGAAAAACATGTCTTTGTCAGCTGTTGAAGCAAATATAACCCGCTGAATTAACCCCAAACAAGAGATCTAAGCTGACCTTGGATTTGTCCAACATAAACAGGTGGCAAACATTCTCACCAGAATCACAGATTCTGTTAGTCAATTAAAATCTACAAATAAATAACCCAAGTATATCACAAGTTGACAATATTTTTTTGCTTTTTGTTTTATTTATTTCATTTTGATATGATCCAGAAATCTAAAATTAACAATAGCAAATATATGCAAATAACACAAATTGGTGTTGTATCTGAATACAGTGCTTGAGTAGCCATACCTTTGACAGCTTTGACAAATATATATAATTCTATTCTAAAATACTTCATTGATAATAAAGGTAATATCACATTTATAATCTGTACTAACCTAGACTGGATCTACTGTGCTGTTGCTGGTCAGCTGTATACTTGTTTTGTCAAACTCCTTGTAAACCTCTGTGTCTCCTCCAGAGATGGCCACTCTCTATGTGTCCCCTCACCCCGACGACTTCAGAAGTCTCCTGAGTCTTATTGCTGCGGAGTTCTGTCCATCATCTCGTCCTCGAGTCATCACAGAGGATCCACCAGCTTCCCTTAATGCCCGCTCCAGACCAGCTCTGGTTCTAGCTGCTGCTGGGGATGGGGACTCTGTCCTGAGCGGGGCCAGTGCTGTTGCATGGTACCTGGCTTTTCAGGGGAAGAGGGCTGGGCTGGACTCAAAGCAACAGAGCCAAGTGTGGCAGTGGCTCAGCTTTGCAGACAATGAGCTCACCCCAGTTTCCTGTGCTGTTGTTTTCCCGTTGATGATGGGTGTGGATATA